GTTTCATTTTGTGTGTCGTTCTTTGTTCTTTAATTTAAAAAATATGTTTCCAGGACATTGTGGATCGGGCTAAGGCAGGCCGTTTTAACATTTATTCAAAGCCTGCCCCTCTCTTTTATTCAATTTGTAGATCACTAAAATAACTCCTGGTCAAAATTACATTCCTACTAGTCAGAACTGTAATTCTTCTTTAGAATGTTTTTATTTTTATTTTTTTATGTACAGTGCCCTGAGACATTGTATGTTGTGACTTGGTGCTACATCATTAAACAGAATTGTATTGAATTAATTATAAATATCTACAATTACATTTTTGCTAGCAGAACTTAATTTTAGGATGTAAAAAAATTGAACCATTAAGAATTAAGTTTCAGATATCTATAGATCTTTATCAATTATAAGTCGCCGTTTTAACATTTAATAGCTTGACTGAATATCTATTTCAGATATCTCAAATACATTTCTTCCTAGTCAAAATGAACATTCCAGACATCTAAAACATCTAAAATGAACATTTTAGATAGGAAGATTATAATTCTTACAAATGACTTCATTTTCCCCATTCTTGTGTATTGGGCTTTTACTTCCAGATATCTAAAATAACATTCTTCCTATCTAAAATAAACATTCTGGGTGTCTATAAATGAATTCTGATGAGGATGAACTCTAATTTCAGCTCTCCATAATCCAGTTAATACTAGTCATAATGACCATTTCAGATATCAGAAATGAATAAATCATTCTAGATATCCAGATATCAATTCTTGACATTCAAAATACATTTCGACTAAGGCAAGCCATTTCATCATAAAATCAGATTCACGACACTTCCATTCCAGATATCTTGAAATCAAATTATGATTAGTCAAAACTAAATTAGAGATATCTAGATATGTAATTATGACTAGTCAAAATTCATTTTAAGATATCTCTAAATGAATTTAAGATATCTTGAATAATTTTTCATCTAGAGGGCTTTTCTAAGATATATTGAATTAACATTTTGACTAGTCAAAATGATACTCAAGATAACTTGAATAATGATTCTGACTAGTCAAAACGTCATCAATTTATGTAGCATTTTGGTGGAAAAATTACTACCTCGACTTCATAGCTAAACATAGAGGCCGTAATGTTTCACTGTAGCTGCCATCTTGGATAGGTCCCCATCTAAAATAATCAGAGTTCCACGATTTTTTACCCAATTTTCACACAGTTTGGTTTGTTACAAACGGCAGAGATGTAGTTATGATACAGAACATTGTATTTCATGCTGAAATACTTTGTTTTRTGTTATTTAACAAAGACTATAAGTATTTATAGCTAAATATAGTTTTATTTTATAAAACATGAATTAGATGACTCAGTGTCTCCTTACTGAATATATATTACTCTACATATTTATAAATCTNGTCTTTATTTTACAGTTAAAATAAATGCTTATCAAATAAAGTTTAATGTTACAACTAATCATGGATCCCTTTAATGTGCTATCAGGTACTCAGAGGTCAGTCCAGCTCAAATTCTGTTTTTAACACAATTTATATCTCTGTAGCCCGTGCTCAACATGAATTAAAAACAGATAGTTTATTGTTATTCATTGCAGCTTTACAAAATTCTGCAGGCAACTATTTGGACAGCTAAGTGGCAGCAGGGGGGCTTGCGAGCAATTTCTTATTTCAGATATCTAAAAACATTATTTTGACTAGTCATAATTACGTTTGAGACATTCTGAATTGCAATTATGGATGTTTGACCCTTCAAATGATAAATCCAGTGATGTCATTTTTAGATATCTTAAATTACATTTTGACAAGTCAAAATTCCTTTTTAGATATCTTGAATTGGAATTTTGACTATACAGATATCTTAAATTACCATTCAGGATAGTCAAAATTGTTCCTAGTCAAAACTCATTTTTATATATTTAGAATGTAATTACAGATAGTCAGACGAAACAAATTTTATGCTAAAATGGCTTGCCATATACCATATACTTACAAAGATATTTTGACTTAGCCTGGCCCTTGCCTTCCTACGCAGCTCTGCTCAATTCTAGTTTCCCTTCACTGCTCCGTCTGGGACTTCTCCCATTGAGATGGATTTCGTTGGCAGATTTTTAGCCGGGCCAATCAGAGAACAGAACGTCAATTTTCTGCGCAGTGTCTGCTTGTAGTTTATTTTACCTGGGCCAATCAGAGAACAGAACGTCAATTTTCTGCGCAGTGTCTGCTTGTAGTTTATTTTACCTGGGCCAATCAGAGAACAGAAGGAGAGTTTAGCATACGGCAGTGGAGGAAGTGAATGAAGCCAGTCCGTGTTGATAAGGCTTCCAAATTAAAATAAATTTGTCTGACAAAGCAGCAGCTCTCATTTACAGTCGAGAGAGAGAATGTGAGAGAGGAGGTGGTTCGTATCTGCCAGGAGGTTCTTCCAGGAGAAAAAGAAAGATTGCCCATGTTCACTGATATTGCTCACTGAGTTGGAAGGAAAATAGGCAGCAGCTACCGTCCACGTGCCATCATCATCCGCTTCATCGCAAAAAGATACAGAGATTACATCTGGAAAGCAGCGAAAAACAGTGACTTTCTAAAGAAAAACGGTCTTCGTTTCACTGAGGACTTGTCCAAAGAAGATCGGGACTCCCGACAGAGACTGTGGCCATCCATTCAAAAGGCTCGAGAGGAGGGAAAATCTGCCTACTTTATCGGAGGACAAGGCTTCATCAATGGTGTTGAGGTTTCAACATCGACCGGCTCGATGGAGGAGTAATTCTAAATACTTCCAAATTTGACTTTTGTTTTATGGAGGGTATTATACTCACATTGTAGTTAGAGTTACAGTTCATTGCTAATAGGGCACTGAGAAACGGTGGTTATGTTTACAATTTTTTTTTCATCAGCGTTAATATTCTGTTTGTTTGTTTGTTGTAGTTAATGTCAACTCTTTATTTTATTTCTCTTAATGCCATGGGGATGCGTAAGATGTTAAAGAGGAAAGCATTGTTTCTATAAGATGTTAAAGAGGAAAGCATTGTTTCTATTTGCCAAACAGTTCAGATCAGATTTTTGTTTATTTCAAGAATGTCATTCTACATGTAATGATGTTAATTTTTGGAAATCCCAGTGGGGTAACTCGGTCTGGTTTTCACATTTCTGAACATTTTGCAGGGGTTATGGTTCTAAAACATAGATTTAATGGCACGATTATCTCTAATGAGTGTGATTCATTAGGAAACTTTATCTGTCAAATGTTTATGTTTGATAATCATCATCTTATTTGTGTTAATATTTATGGGTAAAATAGTAAATCAGAAAATGATGATTTATTTTCTACAGTTGAAAATATTATTCAAAATTGGCTTWAAAAAGTACCTAATGCTATAATTCTCATAGGGGGAGATTTTAATACTGTCCTTGATGGTAATCTTGATAAAWGGCCCCCTGGAAGGCCAAATGCTTCAAGTTCAACCATCCATTCCCTTATGGTAAGATACAATTTAATAGATATTTGGAGAACCAACAATCCAAATAATAACACATATACCTGGAGTAATAAATCCATGTCAAGACAAACACAGATAGATTTCTGGCTTAATTCAGACACTGTGAACAAGGAGGATGTGGTGGTAAATATTCTGCCTACCCTTCTCACAGATCACAAAGCTATTCAATTAATTCTTAAATTTCAAAGCAAAAATATATTT